AGAACTCTCCTGAGGGTAAGTGGTGCTATACACTTTGCTGATTCTTTCCAGGCGTTCTGAGCTCGTCGAAGAATTCGACGGTTTTCCCCGCCCTCATCCTCTCACAGCTTTATCTCCGCCTATTCTTCGCATTTAAGCGTTGCCCTACGTTTGTCTCGCATAGATTTAACTGCTCTGATCCATTCTTGATAAAAGGGACGCCTACGATTATTGTTTTTACGTCTTTCTGGTGCCAGGGAGGGTCGCCTGATTCTTTTATGGTCAACAAATTCTTCCATCTCTTTTCGCGTCAACATTACCTTCCTCTTCCGTAATCTTCTCTATTTTGCGATATACGCAAAAGATTGTCGCTTTAAACGAATCCGGACATTGTCTACATCATCAGGATAGGGGCTTCGGTATTTGTCTCGTGCTGCATTTGCATAATTCTCCTTCCTTCTGTGTCTGAGGAGTTTCTGGTCTCTTGCCTTTTCGTTTGCCGCATTTTCTGTTCAATTTCGATTTTTTTCGAAATTTGGTGTAACATGACTGTATATATAAAATAAAAAACGATGTAATTACTTTCCTCCCTAGAAATTGATACCCTACCATAAGTTCTCCAACGCGTAGGTCTGTCATCGAAGAGAACCTGCCGCTAGGTGAGAATGCTTCTGTTTTGTTATCTAAATATATCGTTCATTCCTCTAGGGGTTCTACACAATGTCCCACCCATCTTATTCACGAATGGATCATCCGCCTTGCGTGTACAACCGATCCTGTCGGATCGTAAGCATACCATCCCAGGTAATAGTTCCGAGATTCACTGGAAAAGAAGCTGACGTTTCACTTGACTCGCATGTCGTTTGAGCTTTTTGCTTGAGAATGTTTACAACTGCTAATGCCATTTGACCAGCAATCGCTGAAATGCCAAAGTGTCCTTTGCTCCTATGCTCCTTTCATAGATGAGAGTTCACAGGCAGCTTTATTCCGTTCCAGGTACCGTTGCACTGGGCAATACCACTCTACGGTTATGTTATGCCGGTGATTGTCACTTTGACATTGGCAACGAACTCCTTCATTGTAATAGTTTTATCGCATAAATACCTTCGGACACCGACAAACTACGTACTACTGGCAATGGCGGTGTCAGAGCTGTTGACGGGGCTGTGTGTGATGCCATGGTTTCTGTACTATTTCACTCTGTCAGGTAGGGATAAGCCAGCTTTCGTACGAGTTCAAGTTTACTTCAAAGTACAGCGCAAAATTTGCACGTTTCCTGCAAATTGAGTCTCAGGAACACGGCTGAGTAAACTAAGAAATGCGATAAGGTCCGAGGGGTGTGATAGATTTGGAAGAAGTGAACATCGAAGTTGTGAGGCTTCCTAGTCATCTCTGTGAATTAAATATTATTTTGCCAACACTTCTTGAGCATATTTGGTCTGTCCATTTGCGGTATGTCATGACACATTCACAAACATTATGTAGGGGTCCAAGTCGCAAGCTGTTCGAAACATTGTCAAGAAAGCTGATGTTATGGTGTTTCGTTGAAAAAGTAGAAATGAATTTATGGTAGGGTTGCATAGCTTCTCCGCAGGTTTTGAAGTAGACTTAACAAATTTGATATCTATATGTAGTTGTAGCTGTATTAGATCTAAGTTTTATTACTATACATCCTCATGTAAAAAAATTACATTACTCGATTCAGTACTCGATTCTAGCCATATTTGTCAAACATAATTATTTATAGGTTTTGAAGCTGACCGAAAGTACGGATTATCATCGTTCTGGTGCAACGCTTTACCGTATATGGCTGCTGTTCTGCCCTCAATATTTCACACAACAGCAATTTGGTTGACCGTTTATCTAGCCATACAACGATACATTTATATTTGCGTTCCAACGTTAGTGCGACGATTTTGTACAATCCACCGTAGTAAGCAGGTAAGCTTTAGTGAAATTGTTGAATTCTACGCAGTTGTGCGCTATTGGGTTAATTTAGGTGATTTTCGCTATCTGTATAGCGTCAGTGCTCATGTACATTCCCGATGTGCTCGCATTCGAGAATGAATCTTTTGATGTTATGGACTATAAGAAAAATGGTAAGGTTCTTACTACTCTAATTCCATCGTCTATTGAACATTCTTTCAGCCACACGACGTATGTGTTATCGCAGTCAAACTTGGCTTCCAAAAGCGATAGGACTGGATTTGTTCTATAATTTAACTTTCTGTGCTCAAACGGTATTTGTGCACCTGATTCCATGCGCTATGCTTGTGGTTTTCACATGGAAACTCGTCCGAGCGATTCAAATAGCCGACAAGCGGCATGCCACTCTGCTCAACAAGTAATTGTTTGGTGATTCAAGCCAGGCTTTTTCTCAGGCTCCCTCCATTTAGTGGGTCTGAAATAGCTTCGCAGAAAGCACCAAGCTCAGAAGACTTAGTTTATGTGTTCTTGCGGTGTGTGGGTCCATTTCTGGATCATTGCTCACTTGCAACGCGTTAAAAAACAAAGTCAATACAATTTTCTGAATTCGTCCGCTTTGGAATCTAATTAAGCAGTGTATCCGGAAGTCTGCATGTATAGAGAGTGTCGCGAAAATTGTATCGAACGTCTGTGTTCCAATAGCTTTTTTGTATCAAGAGCTTTGAAATTCTAGTGTTGTAGAATAGGTTTCAAATCACTATTCAAATCAGAGTAGTTCATTCTAAATATGAAGTTTGCATATTACCGTAAAGCTTCTTTCATTAGTTA